TCCCTTTGGTTTATCAACTAAAATTTTGTATACATCTCATTTCCATGTGTGCTACATGTCCCTTCCATATATCCTTTCTTTACTTAATCTCCAAACAATTTTAGGTAGACTGTAGAATTAAGAAGCTACTTTTTATGTAATTTTCTTCATCATCCTGTTTTGTCTTCAACAACATACCAAGTACCAGATATATTTACAACCAAAGGCAAAATTATAGCTTAGTATATTTGAACTTTATGGCTTTGGACAGAAAGCTATCAGAGAAGACTGGTAGCAAACATTTCCTAAATTTAAGTAATAGTTCACAATGATATAGTTTCTTATTTCATATTAAGATTCCTGCAGAAGTGTGCTAAGCTTACCCAGCAAGACATATGTTCCAACATCTCACTGCTATGCACCTGGGAAAACGCCAGAGACGGGGCAGAAGCAAACATTTCTGATGCTTTATGGACCTTAAATTTAGGGTCTGTTGCTTGTAACACTTGTTCAGGCATCAGTCGAAACACATTCTGTAGGAGGCTCTTTACAGAACCTGAATCCCTGCAATGATTTTACGATTCTTAGCGAATTTTCATCAAAATGTAAATTATGACAATATAGTTCAACACATACATGAATACACATTCAATTAATTTCAAAGTTTGTCAGAATAACAAATAGGATGTGCTTTGGCTAAAATGTTGGAAAACTATAGAGGAGAACACATAAAATTAACAATCTACTTATATATGACAATCAATATTCTAGTATAAAGGTAATTACTAATCACTGCATCTAATCTGACAATTACCTAAGCATGGTTGCATAGTGATAACGTAGCTCAGAGGCAGCCAACCCACACATTTCAAGAACAACAGCCCAAAGCAGGAGGTAAGCTGTTGTATAGGTATAGCAATCAGTAAATGGACGCACTATGCAACTATCCCCCAAGCGAATACCCTGCAGCATGGTGTCCACAACAGTCTGTGTCTGACGTAAAGAGTTCTGCAACTTTGCTAGGCTCAGTCCATCGCTATCTTTATCCACAGCGGCAGCAGCAAAAGCTGCCTGTGTATCTATGTCAATCAGCCCATGGATCAGTCTAAAACACAGAAATGTGGCTATGTACTAGCATTTAACATGTAGTAGGTCTTATCTGAATCAGACCATATAATTTACAGGTTTAAAGGGAATACAGAAGAAGGTTTTGAAGTAATTACTGAAGATTCCTAGTGATTTGAAGCACTGTATTCAGGGGAAGTACATTGTGGTAACCTTCTTCTTCTTCTATGGCTCTATGTTCCGTATTTGGTCCAAGGCCTCCTCAATTATCCTCTTCCATTCGGTCCTCTGTTAGGTCCGTCTGTCCGAGGCTATGATTAAGGTTTCAATCCTTTTTACGGTGCAAGGTTGTTAGTCTTGCAACCAACCCCCAACCTGGAGGACCAGGGTACCTGTCTTAGTTTGACCTCTCCCCATCGATCAATTTGGCTAGGGAGGCCATACCAGTAGCCATGCTACCGCCAGCATAGCTCTTTGGGTCACTGAGGTACTCAAGCCCCACCACCACGACAAGGTGCAGGTACCATTACTCTCTTGAATTAGAAAGGAATGTCAGCAAAACTACTATTATTTATTAAAGAACCAGCATAATTGGGGTTCTGAAGAGACTTGAACAGATACTAAAACTGAGATGGCTTAGACTGGTGTAGGGCTGTAGGACACAAACCCCAAGCCTTACTCACACACCCTTCCAGCTCACTGTAACAATTGGCTGGGATTGGTTGTTTGACACAAGGAGAGGGAGAGAGAGTGAGAGGATACTGGGAAACAAAGGTTAAGCTCTGTGCAACTTCAACTTTAGCACTGAATTGAGGTGAGTGGTTAGCTTCACACTACAGTCATTTTATTCCTGGGAAAATTGCCCTCAATTTCCATTAGCTAGAAAGCTGGTGGTCCCCAGAGGTAGTCTGGTAATGGTGGAAAAAGACAGAAAAATTCTTACTCTTGCAAATATTGAACTCCAGTCATCCAGCTTGTAGCCAAGCACTTTACTGACCGAGCTATCCTACCTCTGTCACCAAAAGAAGTATTACAAAATAGCAGTCAAAACAAAAGAGATATTTGGAAAGGTTAATAATGAGATGGAAGAAGTTTGGAACAGGCTTCTGGCATAACCCTGGATGAATCAGCATTGAGAAATCAAAACCAGAGGCTCACCGGGTCAGCATATGATACGCTGTGAGCTGAAGAGGAATCAGAGATGAATGTAGTAGTTCAAAGCAGTACTGCATCAATGTATCAAGAGCTGCATAATTACTTGTGGAGCCAGACTTTAAAAAGTAGTCTGGATCAATGTGCAGCATAACCTCTCCCAGACTCTCCAACAGTGGTAGATCAAGCAGCGATACAGAACCGGTTTCTACCATACCTAAAACAATCCAAGAACTATAATATATTGTTTATATTTTTAAGTGTCCTTCACACCCTCATGCCTATCCATCCATCAGTCAGTCCACATCATTATAACACATTGTTGGACAACAATACACTTGTAATAACAAGTTCTTCACGAATCTTCAATGAATTATTAATGAAACAGTGTACAACGCAAGTTTTACCTACTGCCTCTTACAAAAAATACTTTATCCTTTCATTCTAAGATTACACCATAAAACAAAGATTGTAGTTACATACCTGTTCAACATTTCCCTGCAACAACAAAATTTAATAGCAAAGTGACGGAAATTCTGCATGAACAACATTTAGAACTTATGTGACTAATTCAATATCATAAAAAATGGAACCATATGAGAGAAAAATTCTTGAAATGGCAAATATTAAATGGGGGTGTACTGTGAAGATCTGAAGACAATACACCACTGAAGTTAAGATTAAGACACTTACCAGTAACTGAATAAAATATGGAAACAATTGCCCCATGGACATCTTCAGAAAATACATCCAACCACTCTGTTTTCAGCTTTTCATGGAACATTTTTACATCACCACTGTCGTTATCATGTGATACAGTCAGGAAGTTGGACAGTGCCTTATAAAGATGAAAGATAGCCAGTGCAAATACAGTTTCATTATTACTGTCCACACAAAATGATTCAGCCATCTGATTAGATTTGGAAACTGTAGACAATTTCATATTTATACCAGGAGACTCGCAACTTCTTTCTTTGACTTTGATTGTCAGAGTCTTGGGCAACAACGGTAGTATGCCACTTCTTGACGGCAGGAAGAGTAAATTCCGGCTATTTTTCACAGTCAGCATCCAGGAAGCAAGTGAGATAATGGTGGTATCCCACAGACTAGATGTCAGAAGCTCTGGACACTTTTCTATCACTGCAGCCAGGAACCTGGCTGCTGCTACAACTGTTTTAACCTGAGACCTCTTCACTTTACTGTTAAGAAAAATGGGTGAACTATAAGAACAAGCACAGAAACTACATTATTAGACAAATACATATTACTGTTTCTCAATGGATATCCCTGGCAAGGTTGAATCTGTGTCAAATACTCACTCAGATAAATTAATATAAACACTTTGTTAGTCTGCTAAACAGGATCACAAATTTGAACATATTCTCCCAAATTTCTTTCTCCTTATATGTATAGCTATTTCTTATCATTGATTCAGTACCTTCTCCACATAATTAAACTCAATAAACAAATGTTCTGCTTGTGAACTGAATTGTAGCTCCGCATACAAATATCTTTAAAAATCCTGACAAAGGTACAACCTTTATTACACATAGCAGCTTCCTGTGTTACTTGGGCAGACACTGATATTATCAAGGCAGTAAAATACAATAACCATAAAAGAAAACTATTCTGTGTAAGAACAAATCATTCTTACAGCAAAATTCAACCATTACGTAAATACTTTTGTTTTATGTAAGTATTTTGTAACAAAGACAATGTTTAACTTTTTTACATACAAATGGGGAAGTAAACAAACTTAATGTCATAATAGCTCCAAAGGTTTTGCACTGTAATTTACTCATACTCACTGTCACAATACTAAAATTATGGTACATCCTTGTTCTGAATCACACTGTATATAAAACAATTTACAGTGAACTCATTTTCAACGAGAAAATATAAACTGCTTGTTACCTAATTTACTTACCAGTCAAATAACAAGTCAGCTTTATCATCCTGCTGATACCAAATTAGCACTGAATTTAGAAAACTGAGAAGGAAGTCCACATGATCTACAGGAACAGTTCCTTCTAAGTGATTCAGCCAGCAAGTTACCATAAGTAGTTTATCCTCGTCCAATGTTGCCAAGTCTGGCCTCATATCTTCTACCTTCAGATAGGATGGAAATGTCTATAATGAGAGAATATAATCTAGAAAAATACATGAAAGTTGGCCAATGAAATGTAAAAACATCTGTAGAGAAAATTCCTTTCACTGACAAGTTTTTCTTGTATGAGCCCTTGAGAAACTTATATTCAATCAAATTGTCAAGAAATTCCTCACCCTTTATGGAACACAAAGGTTCATCACTGTAATGACAGCACAACAGTGGTCCCTATCCCGAGTCACACTCTGTTTACTTAAGACATGTTTTAATATTTATGTGTACTCTCTTTCCTTGAAATTTCCTGGGTAAAATTCTGTATCCATTCTCATTTCCTCCATGTGTGCTACATGCCCTGTCCATTTAATCCTTGATATAATCACCCAAATATGTGTTGAATATCACATAATATAGCTGTAACATAGTTGATATATTACTTCAAATATGTGAATTGTTCCAGTAATCTCGTATCCTGCATTTGAAGTAAGATCTAAGTAAAGATCCTGCAGATCTGTTCGTTTCAGCACTTGCGTGTGCAAGAGGTATACTGCCTGCACCCATAAATGTCCACAATGCAAAGCTCTGGAAAAGAAAAACCAGTTCTATAATGTAGCAGTTCACATACATAATATGCAAATGTATTAATGGTACAATGTCATCACTGGTTACTTTTTAATATTCTGTCACAGCGGAAGTAGACGACATTTACTACAATACAACGTTGTATAAAGTTGATGCTCTCAAGTTCCAGATAATTCCAGAATCTATTAACATTAAAGAATTACCATACTGCAATGTTAACAGAGATGAGGTAAGTTGTATGGAATGACTGCTAAAGAGCCAAAGCAAATAATGCATTCCAGATACAACCATTATCATTCTGCAAGTAAAGTCTTAAAATACAGCAAAAACTTGGTAAACATACCTTCCTGTAGCAATGTGAGTGATATATTCTGTTGTCTTAGCATCAAAAGTATATATCAACGATTGAAATCGTTCATTTAAAATATCATACTTTGAAAATATCTTGTAGTAATATATTGACTGAAAAAATAAACAACAATAAGTGACATTCTAACATTTATAACATTTACACTAAGTTACATTAAGTTTCCTTAGTCATGCTAATATTAACTTGAAAACTGACTTGTAAAGTGACTAGTAATTCGACGGAGCACAGTCCTTAAATGGCTCACAATCAGCTGGACAAGAAATTCCCTGCTTTAAAGAGTTCCTCAGGATTCATTAGTGCCTTCACAGCAGCCTACCCTCAACAGCTGAATCCAATTCACAGCCCAACGACCCATTTCTTTATGATACACTTTAATATTACCCTCACATGTCTAGGTTTTTAGTGCAATGGTCTCCAGATGTCACATCTCTCAGACTTCTGTCGAGATAGCATGCAAATACATAAATATCAAAATGAAACAAATACAAAGTACTTGTTTTTAAGATGATGTCTTAGGAAATTTGACAGCCTTGAAGTTGAAGTACCTGAGTAAATAAACGCAGACAGTGAGTCCAATGTGTGTCAGATATTCATGAATGATTTTGATGATGATAATAAATGAATAAAGACCAATCAAAATAAATCTGTACAAAACATCCACATTCTGAAAGTACTGCAGACATGAAAGTGCATCTTTATAAGAAACAAAATTGTGAAAACTGCAAACCTGAAAGTAAAATTCTTGGGAATGAAAATGAAAGTCATAAGAGACACTCACACTCTTGTAATGTCTGGTGAAGGACTCGTGTAGTGCTGTGGAATAAATTCCCATCAGAAGATGATCCTCCAATAGATGAACACAGCTGCTTGAAAGCCAGCATGATGTTTCTTCCTCAACAACTGCTTGCTTTGAATCATCCCTTATCTCACCTTCTTCCACTCGGTTCCAACATTCAGGTAACTTTGAAATAAGTGTGACTGAAAATAGTAATAGTATAACATACTGCATAATTTCTTCCTCTGATTCTATATTATTTTCCTCATCACCAGTACATGACTTGCCAATACTATGGGAGTTCCCATCAAGTGGACACTGCGTTTGCGAATGTTTGTCGTTAAGATTTAGCAAACCCTTCAACTGTTCTGCATGTAGACAAATAGCTGTTAGTTTGTGTTCACTGGCAACAATCTTGGAGGACAAAGAGTTTAAGAAAACCAAGCCAAGTTCAACTGCAGTCAATACATAGGACGCTTGATCATCAGTGTCAGTCTGGAAGCACATCACAGCCGCGTGAAGGAACAACACAACTGTATCCACAGTGTGATCAATCGACTCCATTAAAACATCCTCCCTGCAATGGAAACAAAGTCATTTAGAGTATTTTTAACTCAATCTAAAACATAATATTCTACCATTCAATTCATAATCTGTAACCTTCCAATATTCTATTTAAGAACTGTAATGTTACCTTTAGGTTACATTTACAGAATTTTAAATATTCACTGCATAAAACACGTTTTAAATACAATTTGTAAAACTTAACAAGTAAAACATTATTTAAGATGTTTTGCCAAGTGTGCAGTTTACTTAAGCTTAAACCATATAAGATTTCAGGTTCAAGCATGGAGACTCAGTGTAAAACAGTGAAAATTTTTATTCAGGATAGTCTGATATTCAAACTGGTTGCCTCCCAAACAAGATTCTACAGCATTAAATCTAAACACCCTGATCAATTCTATGGTATGTTACGAAGTCATAAAGGTCATACAGGAAAGTCAATCATTCAAAACATAAGGAATACACAACCTCAAAAGCTCTTCCTTCACAACCTCAGCAAACTTCAATGCAAACTTCTGGAAGTTCTCACTGCAGCTGCCATGCAGCCGAGCCAGTGAAGAGATGCCAACACGCCATGCATCACTCACTTCCTTTTTGCTGCCCCTATTATTCTGGCAACTTAACCGAAACAAGGAGAGTAACAACTCTTCTGCAGCCAAATTGGAGTGCAGAAATGGACACAACATGAGGTCAACGGAATACAGTGACATGACCAGCTCCATCACAAAATCAATACAGAGGGCCTCATTATGAGCAGAGGAAATGGCTCGTGAGAATTCAGACAGAATGTCTGAGAAGGCTGCATGGCTGATCACCAACTCTGTAACACATATATGAATTACTTTTAAATGAAACTCCTTACTGGATTGAAACTATATTTATACTCCAATTCCTGGGTTTCTGCTGTTGTCTTATGATCTAAAAGCTTTATGCTGTGCAGTGGAAAACAAATGGAAATGTGTACTTGATGTTAGAGATATAATACATAAAGGGAATTAAAAAAGTAAGGGCAATTTATTGTTTTTATTTTTTCTACAAAATATGCGCACAAACAAATGTACTGTCATTGTTCAAGGTAATGCCCACACGTTCGTTACTTTAGTCAATAAGTTTCCTGATGCCATCTGCACAGAATGTTTTTTGTTGTGCATATAGCTATGCATATACCATGTTTAACTTTTAAGCTATACACGTGACAGCAATCCATCTGTCCTCTTGAACCGGGAAAATAACTCAATCAACACTGTCCACCATTCGCAAAGTGGCCGGACAGCCCCAGCAGTCTTCATCAATGTTGGCATTCTGCCACTCTGGAACCTTTCCACCCACTGTTACACCTTCCAATGAGTAATATAGTTTTCTCCACACCATGCTAACATTGTTCTGTGGATCTCAGAGGGCTGACCACAAAACTGAAACACACGGCATGTTTGAACTATGACTGCACAAGCTTCACTGAATGTAACAGCTACTCAACGACATGCCTAGACTTGTCTCAGTATGTATGAAAGACAGCCGTCTGACAATTACTATATTATAAATGCACATTGCCCCTACTTTCTTAATTCTCTTCACACATTTTTGAAAACGTGTTTCTACAATCCTGAAAATGTATATAGTCCAATACTGAAAGAAGCAAATGAACAGTGACAAAGATATTAAAGTTATGACAGTTAAAAATTAAATGTAACTTCTTCGCGTCACATCAGCAACAAAGGTTCGAAACAAATTAGTAAATACCTATAGTTAACTACAATAGAACATTACCTCCATCCGCAGTTTTGGCAAGGCAGCATTCAAGTATGTGTTTTGCTTCCACGGCAGTCTTACTAGTGCTAATGTCCTGTGCTAAGGAGACAAGAATCTGACTTAGCTGGGCACCATACAACCAATTCTGCACACAGTGATCAGACCGATGTTCCAGGGCAGATGTAATACACCACAGCAACACTGATCTGTTGGACAGCTGACAACAAAATCAATATAATTTTAAATTTAAACTCACATTCTCACACAGTATTTCATTAAGACTTATTTTTATATTACCTGTCTGTCTTTTGAACAGTATCACCCTCTCAAGGCAATGAAATCTGGAATTAAAACTAATGACCTATGTAATGCTACCACAGCGAATTTGTCCTTTCTTTTATATGCAGGCAATGACGTAAAACTTGAGTATGATCACAGGTGGTACTAATAAAATAACAGCCATGTTCTAATACTGGTACAATCCCTAGTGAAACAGGGCCAGACTGTGTGGATGGATAATTTCTATGATTCATCCTGTCTAGCAAAAATACTGAAGACTACACAAGAAACTAAACACAGTAGAAAAGAATAATAGCACAACATTGTGGCCCTGCTTCTATCACAAAGTGCAGTGACAAAAAATCAGCACTGATTCATGTATCACACACCAAGACTGTTAAAATTAGTAGCTAAAAAGTAGTCAAACCCATTTCAATGTTTGATAACGAGCAATGAATGGATGAAGTTCATTTGAAAAATGCTGCACTCTTATTTGACATGTGTTCAACATGCAACAACAAGGCACACTTTACCTTATAAATAAAATAACAGTTCTACTGTATTCTTGAAAAGTTCAAAAGACATGTATTAAAAATCAGTGTGAAAATAAATTACGGTAACAGTGGTGATAATGACGATAATAATCTACTAATAATCCGCGTCACATCAGCAACAAAGGTTCGAAACAAATTAGTAAATACCTATAGTTAACTACAATAGAACATTACCTCCATCCGCAGTTTTGGCAAGGCAGCATTCAAGTATGTGTTTTGCTTCCACGGCAGTCTTACTAGTGCTAATGTCCTGTGCTAAGGAGACAAGAATCTGACTTAGCTGGGCACCATACAACCAATTCTGCACACAGTGATCAGACCGATGTTCCAGGGCAGATGTAATACACCACAGCAACACTGATCTGTTGGACAGCTGACAACAAAATCAATATAATTTTAAATTTAAACTCACATTCTCACACAGTATTTCATTAAGACTTATTTTTATATTACCTGTCTGTCTTTTGAACAGTATCACCCTCTCAAGGCAATGAAATCTGGAATTAAAACTAATGACCTATGTAATGCTACCACAGCGAATTTGTCCTTTCTTTTATATGCAGGCAATGACGTAAAACTTGAGTATGATCACAGGTGGTACTAATAAAATAACAGCCATGTTCTAATACTGGTACAATCCCTAGTGAAACAGGGCCAGACTGTGTGGATGGATAATTTCTATGATTCATCCTGTCTAGCAAAAATACTGAAGACTACACAAGAAACTAAACACAGTAGAAAAGAATAATAGCACAACATTGTGGCCCTGCTTCTATCACAAAGTGCAGTGACAAAAAATCAGCACTGATTCATGTATCACACACCAAGACTGTTAAAATTAGTAGCTAAAAAGTAGTCAAACCCATTTCAATGTTTGATAACGAGCAATGAATGGATGAAGTTCATTTGAAAAATGCTGCACTCTTATTTGACATGTGTTCAACATGCAACAACAAGGCACACTTTACCTTATAAATAAAATAACAGTTCTACTGTATTCTTGAAAAGTTCAAAAGACATGTATTAAAAATCAGTGTGAAAATAAATTACGGTAACAGTGGTGATAATGACGATAATAATCTACTAATAATCTGCAGATATATATATATATATATATATATATATATATATATACATACACACACACACTCATGCACACACATACCTTGCCCAAAGCCTCCAGAATGTGGTCCTTCTCATCATCTGTCAGAAACTTCAACAAACCAAATGTGATGTGTACGACATTCTCAGAACAAATGTTTTCATCCTGTAGCCACTTGTGTAATGTTGAGTCATACAGTTGAACCAAAGACTCATTATAGACCGCTTGTTTGTCTTCTGCAATATCAACTTTTAACAAACTTAAGAACAATTCTCTTGACTCAAATGCTCTTGTCAACTTGGTAAGATACAACAAAAAAACTGGGTCTTCAAATTGTTTTGACTTCCTCAAGTAAGAGGCACTAATAACTTGAACTAAAGTCAGTAAATATTTGTCAATGTTATTGTCTGATATACACAATTCAGTATATGTTGTACTCTCTGGCTCCGAACTTTCATATTCAGAATTTATTTCAGGGGAAATGAATTTAACTTTAAGTCCTCGGCTACACCTCTGATGCTTTGGATTCTTAAGACAAAGACATAGTTCCACGTGTCTACTCAGAAGCCATTCCACAGACATGGTTCTGGGCTGGACTGAACCTCCAGTGTAAATAGAGGACAAAGACTCGAGTATGACAGATGTTAAGTGATCCCAGAAAAGCTGCACTAGATTGCCATACCCTTCACTGTTACTCCAGTGATAAAGAAGGCCTGACACTTGAGGAAACAATGAGGTAGAAACCAAGTGTAGTCTGTGATCCTTCAGCACCAACTCTACTGCTGCAATCAACTGTAAATTGTAAAATGTAAAAGAAAAGTATTAATACACAAACATAGAAAAAACACAGCACTTAAAAATATCTTAGGCAACAAAATTAAAATACATTGATTTAAAAGTAATTTATTCTAAAGTATACAATTTTACCTAGTTAAAAATGTATTGTTGTTGCAAGGCATAAATTATAAAAATGTTGTGCTTGCCACTGGACCCAATGTTCATGGGTTCAAACCTGGCTGAGGTCGATGGATTTTCAAGGGTGATAAAAATCCATAGCACAACTTCCTTCGGAGGGGAAGTAGAGCCGGCGGTCCCATGTCGTAGATTTACAGCATATAAAAGAACCTTACGAGCATGATACAAGATGTTTTGTAAGCAAAATTCAGTGGCCACTTCTCACCCATGTCTCTCGTGGTTCACTGATAGATGGCTCTGGCAGTTAAAATCAGGATTGAGTAGAAATTGTGCAGCAGAGGCAGTGGACTTGTCACTCACTACTCAAATGCACTTTACAAGACTAATAACGACAAGTTGCCGTGAGCAACTGTTGTGGAAAAGGCCACTAGGTCCAATCCCTGTAGTAGATGATGATGATAATTATAAAAATTACTGTAATAATTTAAAATTGTACAAGTAATTAATTTTATTTGATTAAAGTTATTAGTAAAAAACCTGAAATTTAAAATACTATATTTCATTGTAGAACTCCAGAACACCAACTTTCTATTATCATATTAACCTTTATTAGCCATGTGTCACGGCTTACGCTCAGTCCAGCTGTCCATATGTCACAGTTGCATAACCCTTCTTACCTAATCGCTTTGGACAAAATGTTTAGCTTTTATGGGTAGGTTAAGCAGATAGCAATACATTTCCTGACAGACCAGTTTCATTAATTCTCATGTAAATCAAACACTCAAATTTCTTAGCATGAAATTTTGGAGAAAAGAACGTGAGTGAACTATGCAGTGAAACACATTAACAGTAACTGTCCATGCTACTTGAAGGAAGTATCAACTACTCATTTTAAAAAACATACTAGATACATCAACTCCATTTTAAGGTATCACATTTCTTATTAACTTATGTGTTGGATAATGTACTTAAATAGATCATACAGTCATGAATACATAAACACATCATACATACATGATTCTGTACAAGGGCCTGGCAGAAGTCAGATTCATTTAGATGGAGCATCACAATATACCTCAGGCACTCAACATAACATCTGGCAATGGCATTGCATTCTGAAGCACTCTGCATCACAAACTTCTGGCTTAAACTATGAAAAAACATCACAGATTCAGGCTGACATTACAGACTCAAGTGCTGGAAAGTAAATTCCTTCCTTTCTTTACACTATTAATCACGAAAGTGTCAATCCTCTGATCTTGGGATATTCTACACCAGTTCTTTAAAATCGGAGCCTACTGGCTCTGGCACACTTAAATGTTCTGAATCATAACTTTACTTCCATTTATTAAATTTTTGTAATACTGTTTCAGTTATTGAGATTATGTAGTGTTGAATGAGATATGAGGATGATGATGATGAACCAAAGACAGATGTTGAGAATGAAGTAATTTAATATTGCTGGCAATATTTCATATTATACAGCATTCAAATTATCTCACCCATGACGCATGTTGTCAAGAAAATTATCATATAAGTCATGCTTATTGGAGCACACTGTAGATGGGATCTTGCTAAGAAATGGAAGAAGGTTTGGAAAGATGGCAGCTGCATTGCCTTGACCTCCCTCACGAAGGATATGCCATAGTTTAGGTAGTACAAATTTCTCTGCATTCACATGCTGCCAGCAATCCTGAAAATTCAATACAATAAAGCACAATTATGGGTCAATGAACCATTATTATGGTAGTAGTAATAGTATAAAACAGAAAGTTAAAAAAGCTCAATATAGTGAAATTTAGAGGTAAGAAATTATTTAGATATGGAATTTTGAAGCATAATAGTAACTTTTTATGCCAATTTTAGTCTCAAATAACACTGTAAATGCCATCAATGACAACAATAAAAATGACATGTCCCACAAACTAAATTTAAATTATACTGCATGTTTAAATTTCATATTATAAATTAAATTTAAATGTTTATAGCCAATTTTAGATAACATCACACAACAGAAAAACATTCTAATTCAATTACTTTCGTCCAATTTCAGCTTTTGCATTTATGCCATATAGTCTCAGTTACTGACAATGTAATTACATAAACCACAAATAAATAAATATGCTCTGAGAGCAGCGTAAAGATGCTTACCTCAAGTGTAGTAAGCACATGAAGTGATGCTTCCCAGACTGTTGGTAATACTGTAGGGTCTGTTTCATCTAAATTACCAAATACAGCAAGTGCTACACGAGCTCCTTCATCAGCCAATAAATATGGTGCTTTCTGGCACAGAGCAATAAGTACAGAGAACCAAGCATTGCGGATTAATGCTGAAGTATGGACTGACATTTTCCAGAACTTCTTGGAGGCAATGAGCTTCTTGTTGGCTTCTTGGGCAGCCTGTAGTTGCTCAGCTGGAAGCTTCTGGAGGTACAGTGCATAGCCTTGCAAGCTGCTCACAACTACTCGCTGATATTTAGCCCCCATCTCCTCTGCTGTCACAACCCTTAACAATATTAAGATTTGAATTTATATTTGAATTAATATTTTGTGCTTACCCCATATAAGCTATGATCAGAATAATTATGCCCATTATGTACAGTTATGAGGGGAAAATATGGATTACAAGCATATAACAATGGCAAATAACCTAAGTACAAAATGACATTGGATAATGACATATTGATGATTGAGCATATGAGGAGGCCATCTCTCTTAAAAAATCTGTTAGCTCTGAGAAAAGAAATAACAACTTACTTTGGGTTGCTCAATGTCTGGGCTGTGTGGACTGTAAGATTATCACAGATGTAATTCAGAATCTCTTCCTGACAAAATATGATAGCTTCTGTCACTTTTTTTGGAGGGAAGGCATCCTGTATATCATAAAATATAACAAATTTAGTTTAAAACTGATGTCACCAAGAGACAAATTAATTACCCCTCTTTTTACTAAATTATGATGTTAGAGACTTCTAAAGTTACTGTATGAAAAATGTAAATGCTTATTAATAAAATATTTTGTTTGTTACTTAGTTACCGTACCTATAGCTCTTGGCATAGCTCTTGGCTTCAACATCTGCATACCAATTTTTTTAATTTCAAGAAAATGCATATCACTGAAATCAAACCTGGAATGCTAAAGAAGCAGCACTGGCAGCTGGAGGGTAGGTATCATACTGGGATGTAAACCAGGGACCAGCCAGCTGGCGTAGATAAGGAGCAAGATTACGTTTGGCTCTCAGTACCACTGCTCTCTGGGCCTGTTGTGCAGCTTCACGAACACGATGTTCTACATCAACAGCTAAATGGCAGTACAGCCGCGGCCACAGCGGCAAAACTGTTTTTACAGCCTCTGGTTCAGAATTTTTAATCAATTCTGAAAATTCTTGAAGGGCCTACAAATTATCAATATATTCAGAAAATATAAGGTACTAGGCAGAACGCTCCTTTCGGAGCTCCTCGGAGGGGGTGGTCAATTTTTTAAAAAGCAACCAACCCCTTCTGGGGGGTTGGTTGCATTTTAAAATCTTGTGTAAGAAACTAAACTAAACCCCCCGAATGGAGGGTTAAAACACTTGACCAACCCCTCCTTCGGGGGGGTTGGTTGCGTTTTAAAATCTTGAGTAAGACACTAAACTCGGAATTGTTGTGTTCCACAACAATGCCTAGTTTGTTTATAGTTGACATTGTTGATGACGTAATTTATTGACGACGATGAAATCACAAATTTTTATAATAGATAAACACTGAAAAAGTTTTAGTGACATGTAACATATGGTTACATTACAAATACCTTCAGTTTTGTAGTGGAATCCTTCTTGCCCATTTTTTTTAATACTAGATGAAAATTTGGAGAAAGATTTGGGTCAAATTCTTCAGATGTTGCAACTGAAAAGCCAGGAAGAACTGGGACAAAACCTCCATCCTTTACTGCAGTAAAACCCACAAATGTTGGAGTTAAATTTCCAAGTAACTCTGCACTCCTTCCACTGCTAGATGGCTAACAGAAACAGACAACTACTAAGTTTTACAAAACTGCTGCAACAAGTTTTTATAACCACACATTCACACTATAACTTCCAATAACATTAACATGACGGCCAGACTCATATTAATTTTATTCCTATTATAAGTTGCTGAATTCTGTAATAAATCAACAGAAATTTTATATTTCCCATACCATCGAAAAATCGACATTTATATCTGCCTCCATATACAAGTTATACAATTATGATCTAAAACCTTCTCCCCCGGTTCTCTGTGAAACATTTTTAATATTACCTTCAAAAGCAGCTTTAAAATTATACAGACCTTAAGCTGGAAAATATTTTTGCTGGCACCCATGTAACATTCTAAGTATTCAATATGTTTACAATATTCAAGACGCCTGGTTCAGAAATATTTATTACACTTACCTTGGCATTATTTTTAGTTCTCTGCGCCTGCTTATGTTTACCACCCATTTTTACAAACCGATATCAACTAATTTAGATACGAACACTGACCACAAACAGCTGACATCACCCATCGTACATCTGAAACCAACATGCAATTTCGTAATACATTTCACAGATTAGCATCTCAACTGCCTAAGATGTGAAAATGCGTGTTATTATCTCTCGTAACAGTTGCAAACCCTTGATTGTACAGACATGGTATCTGCCACAGACATAGATAACCTAAGCAGCCGTACAGAAGTATGGTAGCTGGCCGTTTAACCTCATTTTTTAACTGTGGTGTCTGAAGTCTTGCAACAGAGAAAGTGATATAATTAATTCATATTTTCCGGAATTTTTTATCCTTGTCAATACTCGGGCCATTAATGAAAGTACATACTAGTTATAGCATAAGACTGCTGCAAACAGACAATGTGTATATCTCCTGTTGAAGATGGCCATAAGCTTGTGACATTTTACACTGGTTTCACATGCGTTTACTTCCCCATTGTTATATGTGCAGTATACTTTACAGAATACTTCTATAGTATAGGAAAATATTCGTTTTTTCCTGTGATTGGGGTTATTTTTGTTGCAGAAAGTAGTAAGTATTTAATTGGAACATGTATCGTGAAACGAAATTCTACAGGTAGTGGAAGATATGATGAAAGATATTTAACAGTTTCTACTAAAAAGAACAGTACAAAAAGCAGATTGAAAGAGGGCATTAAGAGTTCTGTTATCATTGTAATCATGATAGTTGTGTATTTTTCTGTGGCAGTATTATTTGGAGCAGAAGTGTTTAGCAAGCATGAGGAAACTTTTATGTTGAGTGTTCTCCTCTGTGTTTTAACAGTATTTCCAGCATGTTTACATATGGGGGCCAGTTCAGCTATCAATTTGATTTTTGGACAAAAACCTTCCAATGATGTTGTAGGCACATTAATTTTGAGAAGTATACAACTGACTCTGTTTGGTGCTTGGTTGGGAGCATTTGTGATTCCATTGGATTGGGATCGTGCATGGCAGGAATGGCCAATTCCTTGTGCATCAGGAGCAGTGCTTGGATTCACAGCAGCCAATCTTCTTATGATGATTAATGTGGTACCAAAACTAATAAAGAAGAACAGTGCAAAATCTTGTAGAAAGAAACATTAGTATATCCTCTTGAATAAATGCTTATCATTGTGTAATATGATCACTGTATCTAATAATATTGTATCTGGATAAATAGCAGATTACAACAAGTTTTTAGCATAATGGCAACATAGTAGAATAGACTATGCAGATGTTTAGTTTATTGTTTAATGTTCAGAATGCCTAATATACCTAATAAAATGTTTCAATATAGGTATTTTTATTTTGTAATACTTTAATCTATAATGATGAAAATTAACAGAAACCCATTAAGAATTGAAGATAGATACTCTTTACTGGAACACTGATTGCTCATACTATGCTTGACGTTGGGAAATGGGAACAATTGTTTACAGGTTTTAACATCTAATTTGACATTATATAAGACTGACAATCATAAACTGTCATAGTATAGATAATATGAATGAACAGGTCATGATTTTTGGTGTGTGTCTGCTCAATGAAATATAGTTACGGTCGCAGCCCCAAAATCTTCCGTTCATTCATTTGTTTCATTATTCAGTGACATGGGCATGAAGGTACTCCATGTTTTGATTTGGTTTGTTGTTTTAATACTTTACGTAAGTAGTCTTCATATTTGAATTTTGTTTCTTTTCCCATTGTGAAAAGTAATAAAGTACTGTTACCATGTGCCTGAAGCACGTGTTCCTTTTTGGCTGTCCCATTTCCCATGCAAAAGTGATGCTATTGCACCAATAATTAAATTTACCCAGAAGACAGAAATCTTCAAATTTGCTTATCTTCACTCTGCATGTTTATTACAAGAAATAATCCTGCTTGCACTTGTTTACACAATATTTTTAACCTGTATGCAAATGCAATTGTACTGTCAACTGTCCAAAGATCCAAACAAGGTCAATGACACAGCTGATTGTGTTGTGAACTTTCTTATACACTCTGGATTTGCTTGCACAGCTGTAGCTGCTGTCTTATGAGCTATCTGACAGTCCTCTGCATTAACAGGGTTTCAAAAAATATTCATTGGTGTGATATGTATGCAGGCTGTTGTAAAAACAACAGTGAACCTTTGGGTTCCATGAGGGGCCGGGAATTTATTGATTTCCCAATCAACTATCAGCCTCTCAAGAAGGAAAGGGAAAGAATGTCAATGCTTCCTTGAATTGGGGGGGGGGGGGGGGGGGGTTGAGGTCGAATAGTAGTTGGCCTTATTACCGGTCGAGTTGATGCTACCATCTTATCCACTTCCGACGGATACGCACGCACGCATTGTCACTAATAGCAGCAAGTATACCAAACGGCACCAATGATAGATAACTGAACAGTACCCCACAGATGACTCAAAGTAGAAACCGTTGTTTTACGACAATCAGCTGGTGTGTAGTGTTAAAACTGACAAGGGCGTTTGATTGTTATTGTTAATGTCCAAATATTTTGGCAATGTCGTCTACTGCTGGGAAGGTATTGAGTTTTATAACTACGCCTCACATCAATAATATAATGCATGCAAATTTAATACAAGTAAATTCCAATGTCATGAAAACAGGCAATCAGCCATTTTGATTATCCAACGTTTCGGAGACGGTTTCTTCTTCCATCGTCAGGGTTGACGTGATCATATGGAGGCTAAGTCTCCGAAATGGTGGATATTAACTCCAATACCGCACTGCGGAGCTCTTGAGACCATTTCGTTGCATCTAGTTAAATGAAAGTCTTTGGAAGTTTTAATACGTTGCAAATTCGTGAATCTCCAAGTTAGCCCATATGCATATGACTTCGTATATCATGACTAAATAAAAAAAACCTTTGGGGTTGGGTGGGTGGGATAATGCATGTGTATATGAACAAGTGAAACATGTTTAAAAAAATTACATGTAATTGAAACATCCAGTAATTCAATTGGCATTTTAGGTGTGTTTTGTGTCTGTGCAGAGATCATATTAAAATTTCCTTGCCTGATTGCATGAAACAATTCGAGAATGGCTGAATGAATTTTCACAAAATCTTATATTGGGTAGTTTTATTAACATTTATCACCAGACTGCAATTTTGGTTACAATCAAGCAGCAATAATGGGGACTTTACATAAAGACCTACATGTGTTTCTGCTCACTGAAGTAACTAGGATGAGGAAATATGAAGCTGCTGTAGTTACCACTGTTACCTGAAGAATCTCCATTCACCCAGACAACTCGTGACATGATCAGTGCCATTTACAGAAGTTAAATTCTGGTGTAAATTTCACAACTTATTACTAACAGGTAATTTCCTGCCGTGCTGCTGTGGCATGGGAAGAGAATAAGCCTCTATCTATAGAGACAATAGAAGTTGCACCACCAAAAGCTGGTGAAGTTCGTATCCAGATTCTGTCAACTGGTGTATGCCACACAGATGCTTATACTTTGGATGGGCTAGATCCTGAAGGGGCTTTCCCCTGTGTATTGGGACATGAAGGTGGAGGAATAGTAGAAAGTGTGGGTGAAGGTGTTACTGCAGTGAAATCAGGTATATTGAGTTTGATACTGATGGTCATTTACTTTTTGTTATAAACTCCTATATCATTTGTTTTATGATAACATGGCAACTAAAGTTTCAACATTTTCTGTTACCATTCAGTAGATTAATGAACGCATCAATTTTCAGGAGATCATGTGATTCCTTTGTACATACCCCAGTGTGGAGACTGCAAGTTTTGCAAGTCGCCAAAGACAAACCTTTGTGGGAAAATTCGTACAACTCAGGTACTTCCCAGAAAACTTCCCATGTCAACTATTCTTCCAGAAGATTACCAGTTATTGACTTTATGAAACAGGTGGACCCTGAAATAGTGTCACTTTACATTACAGGGTCAAGGCTTAATGCCTGATGGCACAACACGCTTCACATGCAAAGGCAAATCTTTGTACCATTTTATGGGCTGCTCCACCTTCAGTGAGTACACTGTTGTAGCAGAGATTTCCATAGCTAAGGTGAGCAGTTTCAGTTTGCTGAATTTAATTTGCATTAGGCCTGAATAGGACTTCAAAAGTGCTCATACCAAATCTTGTGGTTAAGAGGTTAGCACTTGCACTTTATATTCAGAGGGTTCTGGGTTCATGTCTCAGACTGGAGACCAGCTATCCTTTCAGGTTTTCTTGGTGTTCCTCTGTCTTCCATTTTACAAGAGAAACTGATGTGGACTGTATCTGAAAATTTTCACTTCCCAATTAAGAATAATAATGATAAGGTAACTCTCATAAGAAACATTTGTGCAAATTTCTGAGAAGAATTTTGTATGTAACAGATAAGTGACACAGCTCCTTTGGACAAAGTGTGCTTGTTGGGTTGTGGAGTTCCCACAGGATATGGTGCTGCCCTTAATACAGCAAAGGTGGAGGCAGGTTCAAACTGTGCCATCTGGGGTCTGGGAGCTGTTGGTCTTGCTGTGGCTATGGGATGTAGGACTGCTGGTGCCAAAAGGATTATAGGCATTGATGTCAACCCTGCTAAATTTGAGACAGGTAAGGTATTACAAGAAGGATGAAGAGTTGGACAGTGGTAATGTGTAGTGAGAGATTTGAGGTTCTCACAGCACAGTGAGAATGGTAGTACCTTCATTAACAATTTTCTTCCTACATCCCAGTATACTCATAGGTCATAATAATTGCACTGTTCTTTATTTTATACTTTTATACTCTGCTGTGTGGTAAAATGACTGAAAATCATGTCAGGAATATTAGGATGAAACTGTCTGGTGCTAATCTTCTGTTATCAATGATCATGGAACCATATCCTATAGTTGCTTCCCCCCCCCCCCAAAAAAAAGAAAACAACTACTTAACTGCATTGTGTTACCTTCCAGGATTTTCCACACAGAACTTGGAAAAGAAAAGGGAGATCGAGATAAATGGAGTGGATGATGTAGGCATATGAATAGATATATATATATTTTTTTTTTTGTTTTTTTGTTTTCCCAGATGAAAGTGTGTGAACTTACTAATTTGCTTTCAGTTTTTAGTTCTCTGTGTGGCTAGAGAAGAAATTTTTGTAATAAGTTGTCATCATAGATGTGACTATTTAACCTCTTCCAGATCCAAGATTTTGACTTTGAAGCTCAAAATTATTTTTGATGAACCAAGAGAGCAACTTTTCTATATAATTTAACTTATTTGATGATTGCATCATCTGCTGTGTGTATTGTATCAGTAAACACAAAAATAAATAAAATTAGGCAAGTAGCATTAAGTGCTTTAGGAATCTACTTGAGTTTGTATGTCAGATAGGAAGCAATGATGGAATACAACCAAAAATATCTCCAGAAATGTGCTGTGGTTGACAAATGGTTAAAATTTAGACTTAATCATGAACCCATGGGTGATTGTTCTGTTTCAGCCAAGAAATTTGGTTGTACTGAATTTGTGAATCCCAAGGATCATGAGAAGCCAATCCAGCAGGTGATGACTGAATTAACTGACGGAGGTCTCGACTACACATTTGAATGTGTGGGTAATGTGGGAACAATGAGGGCAGCTCTCGAGTCTTGCCACAAGGGATGGGGTATGTCTGTGATTGTGGGAGTGGCTGGCTCAGGCCAGGAGATTAGCACACGCCCCTTCCAGCTGGTTACAGGTCGCACATGGAAAGGGACTGCATTTGGAGGTGATTGTAATGTTAATTTTGTTTGATTTTTGTAGAGTACAGAAAGCCTGCATATATCACAGGCAGAAATAAAAATGTGTTAACTGCATAGATTATGTAATAGTATGATGCTTTGTAAAGGATAATTGGAAAGGGTCTAGAAGGAAGCAATAGTCTAAGATCCCACTGTTTTAGCACTCACCAGGAGCAACTAACAAAAAACACATCAGTAAAACTGGTTAGTCTCTATATGATGTTTCAAAACTAAGACCCTCTGAATAAGGAGGAGTGTTGATCACTTGACCACAAAGTTCAGAACCACCATAAATTAGTTTTCCATTAATGTGGCCACAGTTGTCAACAGCTTATTATAACACTTTTTTTTAAGGGTGGAAGAGCAGGGACAGTGTTCCAAAGCTGGTGGAAGAATATTTGAACAAAAAGATCATGTTGGATGAATTTGTGACTCACAACATGCCTTTTGAGAATATTAATGAAGCCTTTGACTTGATGCATTCTGGAAAGAGGTACGTTAACAGAAATGTACATGTAAATTCTATTGGCAATATAGTAAAACAAAGAGCTAACAAATTTTCTCTTATGAGAATATTGGTTTGAGGAAAATCAGACATATAGTGGTACAGTATTTTGCTGTTACAGATTTGAATTGAGTGGAATATAAAATCTGTGGATTCGGAAATATGTAATGCATTTCACAATTTTTGGTTTAAAATACAGCAGAAATCTCAATCTGACAATTGTTTACTCTAGTTTACCTGTTTTAAAAAAGGCAATTATATGCTTATTATTTACCTGTTTTAAAAAAGGCAATTATATGCTTATTATTTTAACATGACACTCTTTTATTTGTTACAGTATTCGTACTGTTGTGAACTTCCAGCTATGAATGAAGATTCCAATGTGTATGGATAAACATCCGACATTTACACACGGGTTATGTTACTAATTGCAGGAACTGTAAACAGAACTTGGTTAAATTGTAAAGTTTGAGCCTGAGTGCTTTGTATCAAGTATTGTTTTCTAAGTAAAAGGAAATAAAAATATGGGCATTTTGTATGCAACTTTTTTAGGATCTGGTATGCATGGACATTCTTTTATAAATAAAGTTACTAAAGTAACTTTTACACATGTGTTTACAGCCCCTTGACAGGTTGGACGAAACTTCTGTTTTACGAGTATTACCATGTGTTTTTCATTGATAGTAAATGCTTTTAATGCCTACTTTCCTTCAGAATGTAATATATTGAAATTTTGGTAAGTACTTTGAGAGAAACATATTATTGAATAAGATTTATAATTATCCATTAATTCACTAGTATAAACAAGCCTGTGCTGTCAGAAGTGTTGTTCAAGCTCCTGTCATTGTCCAGTACTTGATTTACAATACACCATCTCCTACTCCTGCATATACCTAGAAGTAGACAGGAACAATGAGTAAACAGTAAAATATCAGCACGTGAAACATTGGTAAACTTTCAATAGCAGTTGTTAAAGAATAAAGTAAACAAAGTTTTGCAATTTTTATTTAATTATAGTTTTTCAAAACATTACACCAGTTAATAATCAGCCTTTTGGACGAGTGGAGACTGATAAATCTATAGACATTTTTTTGCCACACAGGTTGCCATATTTTTTGTTCATCTATAGAAGAAATTCCCAGAAACTGTATTCATTGTTTTTCTTGAAAAACGAGCGTGAAAAATGAACTTGGGCTATATCTGTTCTGAAAAATATTACATTATGAAATACAGCATTTTGCTTACATGCCTGTGTGTTGATACAATTTCTACCAAATATGTTATCTTTTATTTTGTTTGCCCCTATGAATTACATTAATTAGACAATACATACATCCCAATCTCACAGAAACATTTTGTAAATGGGAATAAAAGGGCTTGGGAATTAGTATACAACTTTATTTCAAATACTTACACAATATCTATGTTTTATATGACAGTCTACCATAGTTATGTTCTTTTCCATTTGCCCTTTTCTACTCTGATACGTTAGGAAAGCAAATAATTGCCTTTAGCATTAAGAGATTCCAAACTGTCTGGAAGAAAGATAAATGAATATAGGGTTTATTTACATGGGTTTGTTTGGCATCATTCAAGTTAAAACATTCCTACTTCCAGAAAATTCCTATCTTTTCTACAATACTTGAACATTAAAATCACATAAAACAGACTAATAAACATTGGTCAATGTTGATTGCATCTCTTTTTCCAAAGCTACCAGTTCAGTTAGCAAAAGTATATTGACCATTTTATTATTTTCTATTGACCAAGAAACAAAGAACACACCAATAAAATTAAAGTTACATTGCTTATAAAAATTGGGCACACTGATACACTGTTATAGTTAAAATGAGTACACAATTGTCTCAGTGACACATAACAACATATGAGTAGCTTCTGGCAAACATCCTGTGTGCTTACTAGCAGTGAGTGATTCAAACAACTAGCCATAGGTGTTACTGCAACATGGCATCCAATTAAAACCAGAATGGCATGTCTCACATCCTGTGAGTTATTTTTGGTTTTATGATGGAAAATCTTACACTTGTCATTATGCTCCCATTTCAAAAAAATCCTCTCGAACACGGAAAACTCTCGGAGAAAATAAAATAGCATTTTTTAAGGATGCAATAGATATAATGTTAGAAGGACATTATACTTTATTTTGAGAATATATGAATGCAACATGGTATAAAATTTGCACTATTTTACAGAATATCTCTGTGTCTCATCTTATGAATGCTTCTTCCACTCCCAACAACTATATCTACAAAAGACAGTGGGGTGAGGGAAGAAATGAGCATGGAATACAGCTTTACTGTAGCAAATACTTGAAAATGATACGTGACTCGAATGGGTTGTACTGTCTGGAAATAATATATGACATTATTTACATACTTCTTGATGAAGATTTATTAGTCGACTAAGCTAACTGTGTGAATCAAGCATTGGACGGTCTAGAAAATGACAAACATAAAAAAGCTTTTAACACCATTCAATAAATAAGAAGCTCCCATTTATAGATGTGGAACGTTAAACCAATACAAACAGCTCAACAAGATATAAATCTTAACTAAATATATATATGTATATAAAAACTCTAAATGGGTAGTAAACTGCGAGAACAGTTTTGCATCTAAGCCATTCATTTTAAATGGAATGTTAAATAAGGAATGGTTTGTTTAGCAAGAGTGTAAGGTTGTTCACTATATATATATCATTAATACTCTGTCAAAATGTACTTATTTGTTGCACCTTATCTCTCAATTGACTTGAAGTAAGAACTTGGCTTGTCATAGTGGCTAGTGGAATCTTTGTTGTTTCAAGCATTTTGCTGTGCACTGTAAGCTACATGTTTCAAATGCTAAACAATTGTGAGGCATTAGTACAAATTTCTGTAAGTTCATTTCATTTTCTCATACCTTTTATCACTAATAAAGAAAACAGGATGATTTGTAAGTAACAAACACTCACATAATAATTAATCTATTTATGTTTAAAAACATTAATTCAGATTCCAAAAATCTTTTTTCTGCAAAGCTTTTAATACATCATTAGCTGATGCAGACAATACTGACACAATACAGACAACTATCACACAAAAATATTTGGGGAACAAAATCAAATGGAGTTAAAGCAATCCACATTGCCAAATTTTTAGAATACTACCATTTACAAGGGGGGAAAAAAAGTGATACACTATAGCGCTAAGTACACAGCACTGAGGTGTGGTAAGACCCAACACTGCTTATCATTCCTTTTGTCTTCTTTGCACTAGATGTCTCTAGTGACATCATCTACAAAAGTACTCATCTCACAGAAAGGCTCAGGAATCAACGTGACTTGATTTGTAGTGCATATTATGAAGCAGCTGAGTTTAAACATCGGTATATGTATTATCATTAATATCAGTGAGAGTAATGATTTGTCTCAATGGTTCTGCCTGTGGTTCCTGTCTGCTGCTACATATAGCTTAATGATGCTCTATGCCATACGGTGTGAATGAGAACAGTGCAGTGTGTTTATGTATGTACTTAATAAAAGTCTTTGTGTTAGATCGTTCCTTTGTCTCTGAAGCAGTAAGTTATACAGTTAATTACGACATTCCTCTGCTAAGAGGGGTACATAAACTTTTCCTCCAGCTGCATGTTATAGGAGTTGGCCCCCAACCAGACATATCTTGACTTGAGATCTGTAAATCATAAAGAAAATAAGGAAGGAGGTGGCCAGGAAGGACATAAGGTAATATGGAGCCAAGATTACAGACAATATTATTTGTCAGAATTTGTCCACTTTTTGAAACAAGAATATGGAAGAGAAATCAAAATTCTTACGAGAACAAGGGATAATAAACATTTATACAAGGGGAAATAAACTGAAATTATCATCTACACAGCACGGACCCCCAGCTTTACTTTATAAAGGGAATGAGAGACCAAGTTTTGTAAAAGGTACGCTGGTCAGCGTAGCAATCTATGATAATAATGAGCATAAACTGATGACAGCTGTAGAGTAACGTGGTACAAGAAATACCAGAGTTCAAGTTATACTCATAAGTAGGTCAGATTCACAAAATCAGTAATAATAGTACTGAAAGAACCACACAGACAAGTTCCAGGCAATAACCAAGAAATGATGGACATTTACTCTGCCAACAGATGGGCAGGAACTATACTGACGGGCTGTAATTTCTCCAGGATGTCAATGGAAATGTTATTTACATACTACCTATGTTTCCTCTATTTTATTTCCAATCTTAGTGTATAAGCATATTTTTGTAATTCTGTTAAAAGCAATGATTTTCATTACTGTAAAACTACCATATTATGAATACTTTAATGGAAGGATTAATATTGTAATGTAATTACAATATTACATTGGAATTTGTCACAAGTTCCTTGTAAGTACAGACTTGACTACTTGTGTCCAGATCAAAGTGACACATTCATCATCTCTGAATCCTACTTTAATGACCAGAAAATATCAATCGTTCAGGACTTACTGGGCATCTCTGTGGTCTTTCATTGTACTCAAGAGCCTTAGAATAAAGGCATTCAAATAAACGAGAACTCATAACTTACTGATGAACTCCGTGAAGTAGAGCTCTTAATGTCCTTACTGAGAAGCTAATAGTTCTTTAACTAGTGAACAAATTCCCTACCTTATGGAATCCAAATGTTTGTGTCGACTGCGGTCTTCTAGATTTATCCTCCTATGCACCTACAAGCTCACTGTATTATACTGTACAGTGTATTTAAACTTAAAGTGCTAGTATATTACAATATGTACAATTAGCATAAAAATCCCTAAAACAGCAAAATAAACTACCACCACCTATCGACATGCTAAATACAGACAGCAACCGTTAAGGTCTCTAAATTCCCCCATTTATGGTCCTCTAATTGAAAGACCTATTGGGAAGAAATGAACCATCAGAAACTCTTGAAACAGAACGGCTTTGGCGTTTATAACCTCATCAATGCCTTCTCTGTATCATAACATAAACTATATTTAACAAACAATGTTAAAAAAGTTCTAAATTTTAATTCTAAACACAATCTCATTGACTATGACTGTAAGAAACTTGGAAATTTAACTGTCAGTTAAAAGAAAACATCTATAATTTTCACAGAGATAAAACTTAGGTTACTCACTTCAATTTCTGAGAAAATAACACAATGGTAACTGTAATTATAAGGCCGCCCACTACTTTAATGTATGAGAGAAAATTATTCTTGATTCTTGTCAGTCACTTTCACATAATTTAAAAGTTCACAGTTTATTCTTTTGAATTATATGTTTCAGCCCAATGTGGCCATCATCATGTTCAAATACATGCATGAACCTCATGATGGCCACATCAGGCTGAAACATGTAGTTCACAAGAATAAACTGAGAACTGTAAGAGTCTGAAAATGATCGACAAGACTCAATTATAACACACCGGGATGCTACACTACAGGCGTGAGTAAATTTGTGAAAATAATCTTTTCATTATCAGCATACCGTTCTCAAATGCATGTTTCTTGCTGAGTTGAAAAGCAGAATTTTCTATATTTACCTGCCACTGGTCACAGTTCTGATGGAGGCAAAGAGGAGAGTTTAGAAATCAAGTGGCTGATCAGCACTGCCTTCTATGTCCTGTTCTGTATCATCATCTTCATCATCGTCACTGGTGTCACCATCTGAGCTGGCACTGGTGGCTTTGTTAGTATTCATCAATAAATTTTCTACAGTAGAAAAAAAGAGACATACAGAAGTCTATGCTCACATGCATAACATTTTTCTGACATGAGGCGTGAGAGGAATTGCCTGTTTTCAACACCAAACCAATAACCTTCATTCTCATTTAAATGGGCCACCCTTAAAGTCTGGAATGACACCATTTTACAGAGAATTAGTTCGCATCAACATCGTATTATCTTTCACATTGCAAAGCAGAAGTTGAACACAACCTGGCATGAATGATGATTAGCTCTGCTAAGGACGTTTTTTTTGGAAGGGCTTTCTACAGGACTGAAAAATCCTTCAGGGTAAGGAAAGTGGCTAATTATATTGTATGATGGCAGCGAAAAGGGATTTGTGAATAGTGGGCATTTCAGTCTCATTCATAGTATTACGAATAAATGACAGGAGAGGCACTTCATGACTTGTTCCATCTGTGTCTCTGTGTTGTTTTCTTTTTTTAATATTTACAGAAGGATGAGTTTTGGTTGCAATTATCATTCTTAACAGAAGATGGAACTATTAAAATGTTGAAGGATCTGAGGTTTTCATGGCAGTTTGAAGACGGCTGTCTTCTGGGTTCTTGCATCATGTAGTATGGTAGAAGTTCCAAGAAGTTAAATCAATAAATGATGTATATGGAACTGTTGATACATCAAGAACTGTGATTCCAAATAGGCAGGCGTCTTGCCTCGTACTTATTCACACTCACACTGCACATATCCTGAATGAAGTATAATTCCTTTGACACATGCATTACAGTCTTATAAGACCATCATCAGTGTTCTAGTTAACCAATGCCAATATTTCTGGTATTAATTAATTTTTTCACACGGGAATTGTCATTATCCCATCCAAATCCGTTTGATAAATATTGTATGATAAATTTGGTACACTTACTGCAGTAATAGAACATCTCTATATTAACTTATGCCAACTGAATAACAGGCTTACCACAGTTAGGTTTCCCACGTGTGCGTGAATTGGCTGTCTCCACACCGTGCTTGTCTACGCACCAGCACATGCCCACTGAGGTATGACACTGTGTCGGGCGGTAGTAACCCTGATCATCACAGTCAGGAATATATACTCCTAAAATTACAGAAGATGTCAGTTATTGCTACAATTCCATGAGGTTTCAGTTACCACACTTGCTTTATTCAGTTTTCACTTTTGGTTGTCATACTATGTATGCATTAGTATATTCAGTACTGTACAAATGACTGCAAATGGCTCTCATTATTTATTTTTTATGTGATTCAGTTAATGACGGTGTCAGTACTTCAGACTAAATAGTGTCAGATTACAGTATGATTAATGAATTGGAAAGGATATGTAAGGAAGCAGTCATGGTCTAATTTAAGGTGACATTCATGTACATGGACTGAGGAAAACCATAAAACACTGAGTCAGGAGTGCTGTGATGTTTCGTAAAAATTAATCCATACTGTGGTGATCGTTAGTCTATTTACAATAAATACAACTGATTATGATGAAACTAATTAGAATTCTCTCCTTTAACTCAGTATCGTGAGGGCATTGATCAGAATTTAGAATACCATGTCTGAATTAATTATTAGTAATTTAATGTCCATATTTTTGTGAAGTGTATTCAGTTGCTGTAGATATTATAGTAAAGCAAACTAATTTTCTTGTGCCTGCCCCAAATTCCCAGGTCACTTCAAAATAGCCTCTGAATAATTGCATAAAGTGATGCTGCACTTACCAAGAAGGTCTGGACTTATCCTTCTCTTGACAGCAGCACAGGGTCGATCTGTCTTTTCGAAGCACTGACACCATTCGCGCGGTGACACGAAGATGTCGTGGTCAGCGTCGCAAGCATCAAGGAATGGCTTGATGCATTTCTCACTTTGGTCATGCTCCAAATCATATAGTTCTTGCAGAGAAAGCTGGTCATCTGCATCCAAGTCCAGATGCTGGAACATCCATCGCACTTCACCCTTGCATGAACCAGGGAAGTGAGCTGCAACAAGAGTTTCTCAAAAGTATAGCTCAACTGCTGTTTTATGACCTCTGCAATGAAGTGTTGGCAAGTAAACATGTTTTTGTAAGATTTGAGGTTTTCACAGCGGTGAGTGTGAAGATTTCTGTCTTCTGGGTTGTTGCGTTGTGTAGTCTGGTCGATGTTTACCAACGTTTCAGAGGTCATACTGCCTCCGTCATCAGCGTAACAACCCAGAAGACAGAAATCTTCAACTGGGGTTTTATTCCTGGTAGAGGCAAGAAATGTTTCTCTTAGCTACTGCATTCACACTAGCTCTGGGGCCTGCCCAACCTCCTCTACAATGGATACCATGGGTTATTTCTCCAGTTATAAAGAGGACAGGGTGTGAAGCTGAACAAACAACTCCATCTACTGACAAAGTCAAGAAAGAACAGAGCTAAATTCCACTGCCCCATGGTCTTCATAGTGTGATACTTAGGTAAACACCAGGGACAACTTTACCTTTGTATTTTCCCTTTACATGAAAGAGAGAGAGACTTAAAAACAGTGAACATCTCACTGTTACATCTTCAAATGCTACTTGCATCAATTGATACATTTCAGCCACCATACTTCCAGTCAAGGTAGCTGATCACCTGGCTGAAATTGGAACTGGGAGTTCCCAAATTAGGTTTTAAGATTCTGTTCACACTCGGATAAACAATGGTAGACTATAACCTGCTACCTAATATGCATACCCTCTGCTTACATAGACAAAGAGCTACTTCAAGTGAATGTTCCATGTCTTCATGACAATGCCTGATGTTTTAAACACTAACAAATGAAAAATACCTTTTCCTTTGTTGTGGGTGCGTCGACGTTTTGCTTCAGCCATGACAACAGAAAACCAGTCCAACAGACGGTTGCCCATAGCTTGCAGTGCAGATGGGGGACACTCCTTGCTCCAGGAGTTAGATGAAAGGTGGTTAACAGAAGATGGTTTCGTGTCCAGCACCTCATTGTATCCTCTCTGGCGATCCTTGTCATCTGAGTAGGGTGGGTTTGTAGCAGCATACAGGTCCTGTGGCAGAATGGTAAAAAATTGGTTAAAATATTGTTCACCTTGACATGATATCTCCAATAAAATATAGTGAAAAGTACGAGCTAGAAACCCCTTTTTATGTAATTTACACTCACCAGTGGCCTTTAGTATTATGTATTACATCCTGTCACTATGAGCCGGGATAGCTCAGTCAGTATAGTGACTAGCTACGGGCTGGACGGCCGGGGTTCGATCCCCGACGGGGGCAGAGGATTTTTCCTCTAGCCTCTGCGTCCAGACCGGCTCTGGGGCCCACCCAGCCTCCTCTACAATGGGTACCGGGGTTCTTTCCCGGGGGTAAAGCCGGCCGGGGCGTGATGCTGACCACTCACCCCTATCTAGTGCCGAGGTCAAGGAAGAGAGGAGCTATACCTCCTCTCACCCCAAACGCCTACATGGCGTATAGTGGGACAAACTTTACTTTACATCCTGTCACTAACAAACTCAGCTCTCTTCTCTGTTCTGAATCCCTTACATATAAGAAAATTCCATCCCTAAGTGATAATTATCACTCCTTTTTCCTTTTAGAAATATAAGGTCTAATTGTCTCCTGACTGCCATGGTGGTCTAGCAGTTAGAACGCTGGCCTTGGAATTCTGGGGTCCCGGGTTCGACTCCTGGCGGTGCCCGAATTTATAACTTGTGTTGGGCAAGGCCGTGGTCTAGGCAACACAGAGTTTTCCTCCGGGGGCTTCCCCAGTTTCTCCGTGGCATCCCAACAATTACTCCATACTCCATACACACAGAAGAAGGCAATGGCAATGCCTAAAAAGGAATCTGTTCATAATATGTCGCCAACCTCCTGTAAAGGAGACAGCGTAATAAAGAAGAAGTGTCTCCTGTCTGAGTCATCCTTGTCCCATCTCACTTTCTGCACTCCCACTAAATGTAAACTATACTTTTCCAACTACCCTCCATACGTGGAGGCTGCCGGCATGAGGATACATCATGTCATGGTGAAAAGGGAACCACTTAACATGGGTTTGCACTGTTAGTGCTTTGATATCTCCTCTTTCCCACTTACTCCTGTCACCAGTAATTGTATTGAACCAGAAACTAATGCATTGAAACGTAAGAGGTTTCATTAATATTCCTCGCATCTACATGAATGTTCAATTAACATCTTCCCTACGCAAACTACTAAAGATACAAAGATCAATTAAGAAGGTAACATCAAACAAGTTATAAATCTCACTTTTGTTTATTAGTCGGTAAATAATAATTTGGGGAAGTGTTTTCCTGATGTGATCAACGCCTTGAATGTTACTTTCACTTTGTAATGTCTAAGTAGTTTCTCTAGAAAGGAAGTTTCATGAAAAGCCTTTCAGCCACTGGCTAGTTATTAAATGTACATAGGTGGTTATCATGCTGTTCGAAAGCTCAGATATTGTAACCGTAATAAAGGCAAGAAGGATAGAATGGCTTAGACATATACTCCGAATGAGTGAGGATGGAGGATGTAAGATGATCATCAATAGTAAACCTCCTGGCAAATTAAAGCGAGCAAGACCGAAACTCCAGTGGATCGAAGACATGGAGTCCGATCTTAAACAGATTGGCGTAAGAGGCTGGAGAAGAAAAGCACAGAATTGGGAAGACTGGGCATCAATCGCAAGAGCAACCAAGGCTACACTGAAAGGGCCGTGTTGCTAAAGAAGAAGGTGGTTATCATAGGTGAAGAGCTTTGGTAAGGTGAGGTATAGTAGATCAGTTTTGTGCATCTACACTAGGAATAAGTATTGCCTACATAAACCAGTTGCCATTGTCTCACGTTTTCAGAAGAGTGCACATCACGCAGGCATCGACATTTCCGACAGTCTACTGATACCCCCGAAAAAAATGTATTTTGTATCATTTTATTAATGGCTGTAAGCCATGGTGAGAGAGGTCATGTGACACATTTGCTGACCACTCACAGCTGTAGACAGCCATGTGGGGTTTTGAATATGCGCTACCCAACAACAGAACCACGCTAAATCACTAGCAGATTTCAATTTACAGAACACTTTAGGAGGAATCGCATGTTAAAACTCAGTTCCGTCATGTCTGATCATTCCTTATGAAGAATGATGAATGGAAAGGTGTATTCTAAAAGAAGACGCACAATTTCTAATGCAATCTTTGCTTTCTGCAAATATAATTGGTCATGGTATATATATTGCTTGTGTTTCATAATACTAAAACAAATATCCCAAATAAAAGTTTAGACCTTACTGAGTTCCATATTTTAAGAATGGTAATGTACGAGTTTTTGTGCAATTAACCACTGAGAACCAATGAAGTTCAATTTGAACTTTATGAATTTCAAGATGATAATGAAGGAATATTTACCAAAATTAAGCACATTCAGCAACTTATCTACTCCCAATACATGGAGGAAATAAAAATAGTGAAAATAAATGGAAAATACATAAAGCAAGTAGATAAATTTATCTCTGTGGAAAGATCCAAAATTAAACAAATTAAAGAACTGAACAGCTTAAGAATTTTATCATTTAGCTAATATCAGTTCTACCACAATCCCAATTCTTAACACGAAGCTATTCAACTTTACCTTATTATATTTCGTGTATTTTATATATTTGTAGTGTTTGTTCTCATATTTGAAATCTTCAGGGGTGAACGTGTACTTGTCCTGTGGCATTCTGATGGGTTTGTTGCTGTTGTTCTTGCTTAACTGCTGCTGTTGTTGTTTCTTCTCCTTCTCAGCAGTCAGCTTGAATTTGTTCATCAGGTTGTTTAGCCTCTCTGACTGGCGCTGCTTCTTTCGCATATGGAGCTCACCATCTGGGCCATTGAATAAAAATGTGCAATATAAACACTGCATCAGCTATGAATGAACTGGAGATTTTATTTGCAATATAAACACTGCATCAGCTATGATTGAACTGGAGATTTTATTTAAAAAGTAAACTTTCTGAAACCATAAACTGCTAACTTCAATCACGACATCTATGAAGAGAATTTAAAAGTTCCTGTAAGCACGATTCATTCTGGGTCTCTGTTAAAGGACAAAAACAATCAAAGAAGAAAGCAGGAAAGTAATATCGAATGAGAATGGTTTTTGGTGTCCTCAGTAATCACTGAAGTCTCAGGTGGAAGAGTTGTTCACTCGGTCACTCCTCCCACCACACAGCTCACAGAGATTCAGACTGGTAGCGGAACTGACAAATCTACATATTAAAAATAACTTTGGCATTGAGGGGAAAAAATGTTATCATCATCACTCAAAACATAATTAAATCTCACTAGGTGCAAATGAGTGATTTTCAAGACTGACAACATCACTCAGGCCTATGAAGTAAAACAAAAAAGCCTTTAATTTTTTTAATACCTTTTTCATACCTAAACATATTTAGTTTTTACCTTTGCAGGGGCAGAATCCCTTGCAGCCGACACGGATAACTGTATGGTGGATGCAGTTGTGATAGTCCAGACGGCACAATGAACTGTACGTTCTATTATCCGTGCCACACAGGAAGGTTGGCTTCACAACAGGGCAAGGGTTACATCTCCTACAACACAAAATGATATAATCAATGATCATTATTCAAGTGCAATGTGAAAGATCTCTTCAGAAATATTACCCGTTTACAACTAAATGGAACCATAATTTGTAGCCCTTTCTAACCTCACCACATAAGACAACTATTTAAAGAAAATCAGTCATCAGTTCTACCAGAACGTCTTGGTACAGCTTAATTGTTGTGTATACCCTGCATTACTTTTGTCCCAGACTTTATTTAATGAAATATTTCCGCGGAACTTGCAATTAGACCACCATACACAAAATGTTTTACCCTGATAGGGTAACGATAAGTACGCACCATTTCCTGAAATCCGATTAATACAAAGAAGCTTTATTTCACTCTATGTTGTTACCAAGAATACAAAATTCTGATCGGAAAACGTGAATGGAAGAGGCGACTTTGGAGACCTAAACAAAGATAATATTCAAATGTAAGACTATCAGATCGACCATTAGCTTCTCAATAAGGGCTCTGCTCCACGGAGTTAATTAAGATACATGAAGCAATAGGAAAATGAACAAAAAAACTTCATATTTGATTTAAAATTTTAGTCGGAAAACCCCGAACGAAAGAAACCACTTTGAAGACCAAGACACACATAGATCTTAAATATCATGTGAGGGTGTTGATTAGATTCATATGCACCGCGATACAGTGCGATGGCTGGTCCTTGTGAACACGTTAATGAATCCAGCATTTCTTTGTAAGCTGAGAAACAAGTTTTAAAAGAACGAATTTAGATCCATGGAATTATTTATCAATATTATGGACGTTAAATGGTATTTATTACGAAGTACCAGCTATAGATCTGTGCCAACAGTTGCTGTATTCACGTTAAATACTGAATCAAAATACTTATGCTAATGAACTATTAATTATACCGATGACAAGTGGATCAAACTGATGCAGTCTGATAAGTCCATTCGAAATTCAATCAGCGGAATCTGTTGTACACTGACTTGACACTTACACGGGTCACAATTTAATTTATTCCTTCTTGACGTTTTGTAATTTTCTCATTACGTCCTATTATTATCAGTCTGTGCAAGTAGTGTGGTCAAAACAGCCGGCGAGGCATCGATCCAATGTCCGCTACGGTACTGACATTCAATACGAGAAACAACGAACAGCGTCATGTTCGAGAAACAGAATGTTCCCGAATTGGAACCACGTCTGTGACTAACCAGGAACTACAATGGTGAATACGTACGAAAACACGGGGATTTAGTAAACCTTACATAAATATGTAATGTTTTGGTTAGGAGCTTCTGGAAGACATCGCCTACAGGGCAGGTAGTAGGTGGCGACTTTAATCGAAATCCATCTAGCGATTCTAGAGTTGACTCATGCGGACAAACATTACATGCTCATTTCGTGCAAAGAACGCATATAACTGCCCAGCGACAATGCATAGGTGTAGACAGATTGCTTTATATATATATATATATATCTAAAACCGCAGATGGTATCCTAGAAATGACAGGTAGAAAATTTGGGAAACCGAAAGCTTTAACATAACAAATACACGGACGTCGTAAGAGTCAGATAGACACAATAAAGCTCACACACGAAAATTACAGAAACATAAATTATTTTAATCTCATACAAAATCAAAACAGGAATTCAGAGAGAAAAAAATCATTTACTGACACCATAACAAAACGAACCTTTATCAGTCGAGAAAATAAAACACGCAGTGATCAAGTGGATGTTACATAACATGAATAATGTACCACTGTCTGGACAGGCATGGGTAAAACACCTATTTAACACTGAAACCACAACGATAAGTTGTGGGTGTATCTCAGAACGTTACCAGCATTAAAAATCATCATGATGCCACAACACATTATACACAGACGAAGAGGTCACAAATAAAAGAATTGACATTATACATATTTTTGAAATGCTATCAGGAGCACCGAACTATTCAACAACCGACTTGAGTGAGTGAATGAGGAGTGACCGAGTGAATAGGACAGTGAGCGCAGAATTAGCCAGCGTCTGTCCTGCTCGGAATTGCACTAACCGCGGAATTAGATCGCACAACGTAGTACGCGGAGACTTGTTAAAGGATTTAAAACTAATGCGACAAGCTAATTGCCAAATTGACCGAACTAAACCCCGCTGTTTACGAACAGGATTACGAAACCAACAAAATGATTACAGTGTTAGGCGACGGACTGCAGCAATGTTAATTATGAATTACTGTGCGGATTCACAGCCACCAACACTAGATTAGTTAGCCAAACGTACATTAAGAGGGCGCCCTGATGATGCACCTCTGAAACGTCGGTAAACTTCTACTAGACTGCACGTCGCAACAACCCAGAAGACATTTACCTTCATACCCGCCGCAATGAGAATTTGAAATCTCACCTATTCAACAGACTGGCGTAATTTTATACTAGAAACGTGCATTAATTTATTGGTATAAATTAATACTAGTCTGAACAAGTCCAGTATAAATTCTCCTAAATGCCTACTTGAAACACCTGGTTCTTGTTAAAGAAACCAGATCGAAATAAAATCTACACTTCTACTCTTACGTATCTTTCTATATGGTCGATATTTTAAACGACACACAAAGAAAACTCTGAACCCGTCCATTCGAGTCTCCACTGGTTAATGCAGATGGAAGTTGTCTTATCATCATTACAGTAAACAGAAACGACCATTTCCGAGGATATAAACTTGTGGATCAATGTTATGGTCTTGTGAGCAGAATTCGATGATTCTCGAGATAGGTGTGCGGCGCCTGAGAGGGACGACAACTTGTCCGACAAGTGTGCAGTGCAATGCAGTCTAAACACGTCCTGGACGTTCGACAGTTCTCCCAGGCGAGTTTGTTTCTTTCTATACTGGGCTCCAGCGTCGTCAACTACACGCAAAAAGTGGATAACGCGAGAACAGTAAAAGTTTTATCATCAATACAAGGATATAGTTTTATGCTACTTTTCTTGTTTATAACGAAGCAGGGTAATGGCAGCCTGTCGCAATGTCTATATTTCTGTACCTTCTCATAAATATGGGATGACTGAGGTAGCAAGCCCCTCTGAAACGTCGGTAAATTACCAAACTACATGGAGCAACATCCCAGAAGACAGTCACCATCATCTTTCAATTCAGTTCAGGAGCACAGAAAAGCAAGCATCTTGTTTCAATGCATGTGAAGTGTACTTGTCTTTAGATGGGGCGAGCACCGACGTCTGGATTCAATCTGTTCGTTTAGAACAGAAAACACATCGCGGAATCCTACCAAACCGACACATGTATCTGGTTATCAAGGCTGGATCTGTCAGGATATACATGACGTTGACACACGGATGGAGTCTGCAGCAGAGATATCACACAGGCTGTAGGATCAGGCACGTTTCAGTTTCCTTGACACCGTAAATTCTTCTGCAAGATAAAGACGAATGAAACTGGTGAAACGGTTGCGATAAACTGTTTTTTAGTTTGTTACGTTTTTAACGATTTACCCGGTGTAGAAATTGATGAACGGATCGCAAAACAAGCTCTGCGAAGAAATTATGACGACTACAAGGAATTATAAGTAGTAATTGGTACCATTTGTAGCATAAAAGGATGCACTTTCTTTATAACAATCCATCGTCTTATGAATTGCACGATTTAATATGAATTAATTTCTTTGCCACTGATGATGACCTCTTGAGGTCGAAACGCGTTTGGCACTAAGTGTAAACAGTTTTGTTTGAATGCAAATTATCAATACACTGCACGGTATGCAAGGTTTCAAGTTTTGCATCCTGCTCTCTTTAACGTTCCAAACTCTAAAATGCACCAGCTCAGTAACCACAAGCCATATTAAGCGTGGGACGTGCAACGAATCAGGCCGTCAGATACCTTATGAATTAGCAAAATCAGTTTTTAATTACAGCTTACTCTAGAAAGAATGGAATACGTGATTTAACACACCAGATGACAAGGCTTCCAAACAGACATTATAATGACAAGTGCCGGTTTTAAACTGGCTCCTTTTGTAATAATGACAAAAACGCATCAGTCGTTCACTTCTCAATCAGACACAACTGGTAGTTAATTTCATGAACAGTACGTAATCACTACACGTTTCAATTAAACCTGATTGGCAGTCTACAATTCACGCTTTCATTCCTGACTGTTCAACGTATAATTACGTTTAGGCTGTATTTCGCAATTGTAATTTATTTAGAGAAATCAGCCCTATATTTCCATACTTCAAACACCCTCAATTTGGTTTCTGATAATGCATTCAATGAACAGCAATATCAATTGTCAAAGTCAAAGCAATTTAGACAGACAGAACCACAGAGTTTGGGAAAGACACATTTTGAATTAATTGCTTTCTTGCGGACAATGATAAGACCTTCAATGAACAGCAATATCAATTGTCAAGGTCAAGGCAATTTAGACAGACAGAACCACAAAGTTTGGGAAAGACACATTTTGAATCAATTGCTTTCTTACGGACAATGATATGACAATTCATTCACACCAAACGCAACAAGACAATTCATAAGTGATAAATCCAGGTACTTGATCTGCCTGAAGAGTGTGTTCTACAATCAACTCTTACGTTATTTAACGATTACAGAGGTTTTATAACATCGAATGTGATCATCAATCCTGAATAGATAAGTAATTTCGAAAGGGATGGTACTGTGCTGGCATTTACCTAGACAGACTGACTAATACCATGAAAACCAGTCACAACAGCTAGTAATGAAGCCGAATTTCGAATCGCGTACCTTCCGCATACATATATACAGAGCATTATCGCCACTCTAGCAGCTTGATGGGTTCCGTAATCTTTCCACGACTCCCTTAATTACTGAAACATCCTAACAAAAAAAATTATTTATCAGACTTCATCAGTAGAAGGTCATACAAGTTACGGTGTAGTGGATCATGCTGTTGAGGCGACAAGGTGGAGGAATTACATACAGACCTGCTACTTTAGCCTCAAGGTTATGTACTGTACA